CGTGGTCTACGAGCCGCGGCTGGGTGCAGCGCTCGGTCCTCGTGCGGTTCAATGCGGACGTGGACACTGTGCGAACAGCCACGCACACCGGAGCAGCAAGCTGGGCGAGAGAGCCAGAGCGGGGTGAGGACAAGTCTAATTACACTATTCACGCATGAAAGCAAATAAAGCGGTCCAACAAAGTTTGCGCATGTGCTCTTCGGTGGAATGAGATTCTAGACACAGGCTCCCACGAACCCGAAAGTGTGCGCCAGTGTGTCGGTCGACGCCTTTCAGAGTTGAGTCTTGACCAAAAAGGTCTGCCAAAATTGAAAAAGAAATGCTCCTTACCTGGGTCGAACAGGTGACCTCCCGATATGCGATCCACTGCAGCCAGTGGCGACTTTGACAAGAAAATGAATCCTTCAGTCGGACGCTCGTACCAACTGAGCTAAAGAAGCACGTGATGGCGAGGATTCACTGGTGCATATATCATCCCATGAAAGCTTCGGCAGCCAGGGCGTAGACGATGGCGACTGCGAATCACGACACAACGCTCAACGACGTCGAAGCACCGTGCGTCTCAGGATGCTGATCTCAGGAGCAACACGCGACTCGCAGTCTTGTAAAAGATTTCGAGCCACGAACGAACGACATAAAAAAACCCTACAAGGGAAGAAGCGACTGGCACCATGCACGCTCACTTGAGCGCGCGCTTCCCCGCATCCGCCAGCTGGCCCACCACAAACGCCCTCGCCTTATCCAGTGCCGTCTGCGAGCGCGTGCGTCGACGCTGTGCAAACCACAGCACCAGATCGAGCATCACGATCCACCACAGCCGGTGGATCGACGAGCTGCGTTGCAGCACGAATGCCGATGTCGAGGTGGTGGTGGATGTTGCAGTTGCAGATGCTGAAGGAGAGGCGGTGAGGGTCGGGGTGGAGGTGGTGGTGGTGGAGGACGGAGGGTTGGTGGTGGTGGTGAGGGTAGGGAAGAGCGATGCGTTTGGTTCTGTTGGTGAGGGGGTGGCGGTGGATGTGGTTGGTGCGAGGGAGGCGGCAAGGGAGGAGGATGGTGTGGAGGAGGATGCAGTTGGGAAGAAGTTGACCTGTCTGCGCACGAGCTTCGTCATGCTGCTCGTCGCCAACACTGCGGGGGCGGTAGACGAGGCGGTGACCTTTTCGACTCTGTCGCTGGTGGACAGCGCCACCGGCGTAGCAGTCGATGTAGCCGCCACGTCAGCCATGCTACTCGTCGCACTGGTAGCGGGGTGACTTCGACTCGAATCCGCTGACATCGAGGTCACAGCCGCGCTGGTGACATTCGCGCCCGTCACAGTGGCATTCGAACCAGCACTAGACGCCACCGGCAGTGAAGCTGCCACGCTCGACCCACCAAACCCCCCCACAGCCCCAACCACAAACTTGGCATTCAGCACCACCGCCACACCCACCATCGCCAGCGCCGACACCAACAGCAGTGGCACCACCAACCTCTTGCACTTGCGCGCCATACGAATCAGCCACGGCGTCTCCACCATCCCACCCTCCACCCCGGCCTTCCCAGCATCAGCCGGCGGCTCGGTGTACTGCGGCGGATCAGCCTTCGCGTCCGCATCGCCTGTCGGTTCTTCCACCAGCGTCGTCGTGCTCTCGTTCGGCTGTTGCACGTGTTGCGGAAGCTCGAACTCTTCAGGCCTGGAGTGGAGCTTCGCGACAAGCGAGGGGAACAGCGCATCGAGGTCCGAGCAGATGTGCAGGATGAGGGCGAGCAGGTGAACGAGCGCGGTGGAAGCGAGGGTGATGCCGATCCACAGCGGGAGCGTCGTAGGCAGTGTGCTGGTGCTGCTCGTCGATGCGGAAAAGGCGCTTGTCGCCGGAGTGCTCGGGAAAAAGCTCGTGTTGCTGCTCGCACTCGACGCATTCGCGATGCCGTTTACTCCTCCGGTCGAAGACGTATTGGCTACAGCAGGAAACAGCTGCTCCAATTGCGCTTGGAACGTCGACATGGCTTGCAGATGCGGCGAATAGTCCGGCCGCAACGTCCACGATAGAGCGCTACACGAGCTGGTGGTCGGCAGCGAAGCGAGCCACGTCTGGATCGCTTGCTTCCTGGCTGCATCGGCCATGTTCGCGGTCCGTGGCACAGAGCCCGCAGACAGATTGGGCAGATCGATGCACGACGACAGCGGGCCAAACGTGAGCAGCGTCATGTTGTTGCTCGCACTGGACGCGCCGGCGGTTGCTGTGCTGGCTTGTCCCGCAGCATTGCTGCCGGCAGTGGTCTGTGGAAGTGCGGTGGATGCACTGGAGTTTGTAGAGGCAGGAACGGCGGTGTTGGTGCTGTTGGTCTTGGTCGAGCTCATCTTTGGCGATCGTGTCGATGTAGACAAGCCCAGAAATGTTGCTGATGGCGAGAAGGAGAGACGGGAGCGCAGGCTGATGACGTGGATTGTGACAAGCTAGACCGTCTGGCCAGCTCACTCATGACTACTTATTCAACTGAACATCTTCCAGCGCTCCGTCAAGCAAGCTCGAGCTACGACCGCAAGACAAAGGGAGCTCCTTTGCGTTGATCGAGACAAAGGGGAGCTGTCAAGGATTCTGAAAGCATTGCCGCTGCACTGCAACGCGCGCCGCCCACATCCGGAAAGTGGCTGACAATCAAGACAAAGGGGAGCCTCGCCCACCCACGACCATCAAAGCCTTCCATCTCACAACGCGCTGTGCAAGACAAAGGGAGCGAAACACGTTTGGTGACGCGATAAAAAATCTCCGGAAACAGAATCTCACGCATCCATCCCGTCCCCAGTCGCACGACCCACGCAGCGTCTACAGACAAAGGGATGACGCTTCCACAGAGCCCAAGCATAAAAAGGAGCACCGACCTCTGTTCCCGCTCCTCGTCACCTCATCACCACCATCCCACACCAACGATGCTGACAGCCATTCGAAGCGGGCCAGCTATGCGAGCAAAGGAGCGGATCGTAGCGTGGCTGCTGCTGCTGCTCCACGCGCTGGTGCTCGCCCTGTCGGTTCTGCTGCTGCTCAGCCCAAACAGCGTGTTCAACCGTCAGAGCGGGCTGGCGAGTGTCGAGCTCGATACGGGTGCGCTAGCGGCAGCGACGACCGGCGGGTCGATGGGAGCGAGTCAGAATGCCACTTCGGGCTCGCACGCCAGATAACGGGATGTTCGGGAGGAGGGACACGGTTTCAAGCTATCGATGACAGATCAAGGGCTGCGGCATTTCGATCCGGGGCTTCTGGACAGCAGCGGGCCGGCAAGACAGACGGGCAAGGTGCAAAAGCGACGAACGGAAGCAAGCAACCAATCGCAGCGAACGCTCTCATGGATCGACGGGCCCGTCGCCATTGTTTTCTTCAAGCAATCGCCGGTTCGAGCAGCGTTTTTCTTTTACCTCCGGCACGCTTGCACTGCATCTCGACGACGTCGCCAGCCGGTGTTGCATGCTCCGACCTCCTCCCGAACTTCAACCTCAGTCGGGCCGACATCTCTTCCTCACTCATCATGCGTGCTTCGACGTGCAAGATAGCATGGCGAGACAATCCAGACTATATGCGCGTCCAGCAGGTCGCGTGGGCCGTGTCAACGTGCGCGATTCGCCAGCTCGCTTAACTTGGCGCTTCGTTTCGGCTAAAAGGAGAGAAATGGCGCTTGATCTGTCTCCCACATGGTCATGAGCGCAGGCAGACCAATGAGCACTTGGGTCGCAGTGTGTGTGCTGGATACTGCTCTGCAATGCAATAGCGTGCGGACGAGGTCGGACTGCGAATGGGGCCAGGCCGCAGGTCGGAGCTGCAATTCCGCGGTTGCGCTCTGCAGCTCAAAAAGTCACATGGTTCACACGCCCTTCCCCCCCTCCCCCCCCCACACACTTCATCTGCTTATCGTGGCGCTGTCGATCCATGCTCGCTGCTGTTGCTGTCTCTTCCACCTTATAACCATCACCTTCCTTGAAAGATTTCCGACTGCCGGGGGATGTAGCTGGTGTTCCATCCAGCATGTCTGCAGTGCTCTCCGGGGCCATGATCGCGTCAACGCCTGCGCATACACAAGACGAGATCCTGCCAATGCACTCGCCGAGCGATGAAGGCAAGCGGTGCAATCCAGCACCGCTCGACTCTATGCCTTCGCCGACCGCAGTCGTGCCGCTCATGGCTGCGTATTCCACCGCACCAGCCGCATCCACGCCCCCGCGCAGTGGCCACCTGGCCCACTTCTGCTTCGTCGTCCTCCCGCTCGCGCTCGTCGTGGGCGTCATCACCGCCGACATGTCCAACCTCGACTTTGTCCATCTCGTCCAGCTCCGTGTCCCCGTCCCGACCAACAGCATGACCTTACCTTCGGACGACGCACTCAAGGCGGACCATCTGCGCTGGACGTTCGTGCAGTCGGCGTACCTGCTTCCGCTCATGCTGCTCGCCGGACCCGTGCTCATCCTGCACTTCGTCGTGCTCGTCGGCCGTTTTGCGGGTAAAGTGAGGCTGGCTGATGGGGTGGGGTGGATGCTGGTGTTCACCGTGGGAGCGATCGGGCTCATGACGCTGCTGAATGCGTTTGTGGGTGCTTCTGTGGCGGGTGTGGTGTTGACCAAGATGGTCGCGGCCGTGGTGGTGGCGAGTGCGTTGGGGCTCGTTGCCCAGGCGGTGGAGCTGTTGCGTTGTCCGGGCGTTGGGGGCGATGTGTTGGAGGCAGCAGTGGGATTTCCCACTGTCACGTTTGCTGCGATCTACGGCCTCGGCACTGCGTTTGCGTCGTGCTCCACCGTGGCAGGCTACCAGCTTGCCAGTCTGCTACAGCGACACAATGTCAGCTTTGATGGAACGGGCAGCGGTGGTGCGCAAGGATATCGAGGCGTGTTCCTGCTGGAAGGTGCGTTCTTGCTTGCGCTCTGTCCCGTCATTGGCATCCTGTTGATGCTGTCACGGCGGCTGAGACGCGGATCACGTGTGGATGCTGCGTATCAGCTCGAGCTCAGAACGAACCAGGATATACCGCCTGCAGCTCTCGACTCACAGTCTGATTCCGACAACATCAGTCCAGTCACAGTTGCGACGATGGCTGAATCGCCAAGCGATGCAGAAGGCAACGACGCCCTTCGAGATCCGATGGCGGCATCGGCAGACACCAACGTCTTTACGCAAGATTCGCAAGACAAAGACAAAAAGGCACCCTTCGAGTACCTGCGCCGCCTCTCCTCATACTACACCTCGCCCTTTGCCAACATCGCCATCCTCAACCGCAACAGCAGCCGCGAGTCCGGTGGAGCGGGCACATCGGCGATGACGACCAACATGCGTGCGCTGCAGCAGCTGCACACGGGCTTCGGGCTGTGGGTCTCTGCCCTGCTGCGCCGGATCATGGTCTTCGTCTACGGCGGGCTGGGCGTGGACGACGCGGCGTTCGACCTGATGAGCGCCGGCACGTCGTCGCGCGAGAC